AGAGTGGAAGCGCCAGCAGAGTTGGTCGGAGGAGGGCTGGGAGACCACCTGTTGGCTCTCATCACGTACCACCACATGCAGCTGGAGCTCATGTACCTGAGCGATTTGGTGGCTCTGCTTGGCTGCCTCCTCCGAATCATCGCGGATCGTACGCTCCTCTTTTTTTAATTAGAATTTTGTTTGTTTTATTCTTTTTTAAAAGAAATTATATTTTAAGTTTATAACTTGTCTTAAAAAAATCTCTGCAGTGCCGCAGTACAGGAGGCTGCTCAGCCGAGAACTGGCCGGCGTCGCTGCCCGGCTCGTCCACCGGGCTCTAACGAGCGGTGAGGCTTTGCAGCTGGTGGGCGGGATCACCGCCCGCGTCACCGCCTTGCTTTGGTAGGGGCCGAGGGCCAAAAGCCTTTCTTCCTATATTCCACCAGTGCGACACCCACCATCAAATCTCGATGGCCGTCCCCTCCCACCTCTAATGACACGCACGCACGCACAACACCCACCAGATTCCAGGGATTCTTCCTTGAGCCAGTCAGTCCAGTGAGTGGTGAAGCAGCCACCACCACGGGACTGGATCTGCTGCTGCAGGGGCTCGACGCGCCAGTCCCCGCCTGCGTGCTTGATCGGCTGGTCGAGATACTCGCCCGTCTCGCTGATGGCAATGGTCCGATTCCCCTGTCGCCTGCCTTTTTTTGGCTGTTGTTTATTTTTTTAATATTTATCAATTATTATCTGATTTTTGATATCTCATTTTGGCGTAGATGAGGTGCGGGAAGCGGTGGTGAGCAACGAGCGGGCCATGAGCACGCTGAGCAGTGCTGAATTCAAGGCCGCTGTGGGTCCCCATGCGGAGGAGTTTCTCCTACTCCTGTCCCTTCGCGGGGAGGCCCATCTCAGTTCAGACAGCGCCTATGGCCAACTCGCCACCTGATCATCTTCTGCGTGGCCCTGTCGTTTTCTCTTGAAACGGCGCACAAGGCTAATTCCTTTTATGCAGCTATTAAAAAATACCTCAACAAAAAATGGACTTGCACTTACTGGCAGTGCCAGGCCTGTGAAGAACTGCACTAAAGAAGAATACCCCAGCACAACAACAAAGCAACCCAGCATGGCCACTACAAAGGAGGAGTGCAAGATGAAGCTCCAGAGATGAAGAAAGGTAGCCAAGCAGAGCCACCAAATAGGCCTTAACCTTGGGGGGACCTGGTGTGGGAGCAGCACTGGGCATGGCCTTGGGAGTGGCATTGGGTGTGGCCTCACACAACAGAAGCAGCAGAACAGCAAAAGGAAAAGCAACTGTTGACAGACAAGGTGTGGCAAGAGAGGAATGGATGGTCAGTAGCACCAACTCCCATGCCAACATGAAGAGAGGGCAGGCCACCCAACAAACATCCCAGAAACTGCTCACTCTCACCTCCAGCTCTTCCTCTTGTTCCTTGGCAACTTCTTCAAAGGAGAGCACCATCCCACAATCCCAAGAGCAAGCTGCAGAGCAAGAAGAGAAACAGAGGAGAGCACATGAGCAAACTTCACCCAACACAGACAACCATCACCCCTCTATCACCTTCTCTTGTCATGAGATTCTCCTCCCAGCCAGTGGAATTGACTATTGGTGGTGGGGAGATGAGGTATGGGGAAGTGGCTACATACAGCAAGTGATGAATGTGTGGCCAGTGGGCCATGAATGGGCCAAGCAGTGCCTGTATGCATGTTGTAAAAGGTGAGCATCATCTACCTGTCCTCAAATGTTATCTCAAGCTGTGTGGTGTACCTGCAACCCAACTGCACTACTCTGAAGGAGATGGAGAATTTTGGGATCTAGCAATGCTGTAAAGTCCTCTCAGTTCTTGTCAGTGAGCACAGGCTCCATGCCATTGTACCACAGGTAATAGAACATATATCTGTTGTGGTGGTGGGATGTTTCAGCAAGTGTGTGTGCATGTGTGCATGCATGTGGGTGTGCATGTGTGTGTGCATGACATGCCATCTGGTCTGTGCTGATGAATCACACCTGGGTGACATGAACAGGAGTTGCAGGCTTGGTGCCAAGGAGCAAAACAAAGCCCTCCCACACACCCTTCCAGGGACCATCCACAAACCTCTAGGTGATTGATGAGAGCACACACACAACCCAGAGACACTTCTTCATCTTGTGGTATGTCTCCCAGCTCAACACTGTGGGTGAGTACATTGGTTGTGCAAAGACACTCTCCTCACTCCTTCATCACCACCTGCACACTGTCTCTCAGCACCAAGCACCTCTTCACAAGCACCAACCCTCACAGCCCCACACAACCCCACTCACCCATCCACCTCTGTCACAATAATGCATGACCACTCACACCTTGTGGCCTACCTGGGCACTGGCGCCTCCACCACCTGCCCCATGCTCAAAGACCATCTCTGCACCTATGAGCAACTCTACATCAATACCATCAAGAAGACACTGGATAAGTATGACCACAATTTCTACACTGGGGCAAGTATGCTGTGGAGGACACACTGCAGAGAGTTCACATACCTGTGAGCACTCACAGTGTTGAGTGCACCTTCTCAACAACTGACTGGCTGTTGACATTCCACAGTCCTTCCCTCCACACAGATCTTCTCTTGGTGTCTGTTGCATCCCACAAAGCCCCCTTCCCACTCCCTCTGCATGGACCACTATCTGCTAGCATATGGGGTACAACGCCCCCCTCTCAGTCATGACATGAGCCTAACAAAGCAATGCAGGTTAAGGAGGAGGCATGCAACCTCCTCAACAGCTGTCTGTCCTGGCCTGCTCATCCAGAAGTGGAAAGCTGAAATCTTTGCTGCCAAGCAGGGTGAGATGGGTCAAGTCCAATGCCAATGTGAGTGTGCAACAGTGGATGAGGAGATCCTTCACCACATGGGTGGCCAAGGGAAGCTCACCAACAAGCTCACCAATCCTGAACCATTGCACCCTACAAGGAAGAATGCAAAGTATTGTTGGGAGTCAGCCAATGAGGCATGTGTACCAATGAAAATGACCAGAAAGTGTACACTATGCTTTGCCCAGCTTTTTGTTGGAGGAGCATACAATAAAAGCTAAAGCTGATGTGATGGTGGCATACCACTATCACACCATGCACCTCACACAACAACAAGTTACTCAGTGCATTGAGAAGAGGGTTCCTGCCCATGTCCTTTGCTGCATCATTGCCTTTGTCACTGCCCAAGAGCCACTGCTCTGGGGAATGCACTGTGGCATGCACTTCTACTGCCATTTCATGCTCATGACTCTCTACAAGGACTGCTATGCTGTTGGCCAGAACCAGCTCTATGAGGAGGTCAAGATGTGGATCCTCTGCTTGCTGAGGTCGCTCCACCACAATGTCCATGTGCTGTGCCTTGTCCACAAGAAATGGGCGCAGTTGGTGGTGACCCTGGGCAACCTGACCACCTGGTGTTATCTTGCAGCAGAGCTCAACCTTGCAGGAACAGTCAAAGGTGCATGCCTGTGGATGGACAGCTTTGATGTCCCTCTCTCTGGCGTCAGCAAGATGTCAAAGAAAGACCCATTGTGGAGCTACAAGCTCAACTCGCCTAGCCAGCGCTTCATGGCCCTGCTTGATGCATGTGGCCAGTTCTGCATGCTGTGGGGTGGGTACTCCCAAAAAGATTTGCAGGGCGTACAACTTTACTTTACCCTTTACGGTATGTACGCCTCAATGGGAGAAGGGTGTGCCACCCCATGCCACCAACTTTTTATCATTGTTGCTCTCAAACTTGCCTTGGCTTTTCAACGAAAAAGGTACCACTTAGCAACAAGACAACGACCAGGTTTCCCATACTGCTCACTGCAGTGACCAGGCCGGCTGGGTCCGCCCAGCTATGGCAGTGCCCAGGCCTGTGGAGAAGAAACGCACTCACTATAAAGAACACTTAACGCAACAACAACAGCACCCCATCATGACCAGTACAAAGGAGGAGGGTAAGATGAAGCTATTCGACCCGGAGATGAAGATCCCGTCGGACAAGAAGCTGCCGCGGCTGCAGACCAAGATGCTGATCGACAACAAGTGGGTCGATGCCAAGGCCGGCAAGACCTTCGCCACCATCAACCCGGCCACGGGCGAAAAGATCTGCGACGTGGCCGAGGCCCACGTCGAGGACGTCGACTGGGCCGTGCAAGCGGCCAACAAGGCCTTTCCCAATTGGTCCAAAACTCCCGGTAATTCTCCCAGTCCAACCTACTGGGTAAAAATTGAACCTGGTCAATT